GCGGTGCCAGATGTCGTAGATCTGGCCGGAGGAGATGGCAGCCCTCTCCTCGTTCTGCCACAGCGTGTGTAGCTCTGCGGAAGCAGGATCGAGAGAGCCCGGTCAGGCAGCGGGGCTGCTGGGGACACGGCGCAGCGCGTCAGGCAGGGCAAGCCATGACATTTCCCAGGCGGCCACGGGCACAGCGCAAAGCCGAGACACCCTGCTGCGAGGCCGAAGCACCATCCCCTCTGCAGCCTTTTTACACGACTCGTGTTTCCTGCACGGGTTCAGAGCTTCTGTGCAAAAGCTCTGCAGGAGCGGCCAGTGCCGCGTCCCTCGCTCCTACCTGTAAAGCCACCGTCAGCGATGTTGAACATGAATCGGAAGTTCACGTTTCTGTCATCCTTCTTCCCATCCTCCTCCTCCTCTTTGTCACCGTTTTGCTGAGCCTCGCTTTGCTCCTTCTCCTCCGCCCTGGCATCCTCTGCTTGGCAAACACAAGAAATCGCGCCTGTCTAACTGTACTCTGCCGAAAGACCGACCGGTGCCGCCCCTGCCCCATCAGCTGCCAGAGGGACTCCTTGCCCAAGCCACTGTTGGAAAAGCCACAGCCTGCTCCCTGCTCCGCAGCAGCCAACCACCCACCTCTTCCAGCGGGTCCTACCGTTTGCACGGCAAGCACAGGCAGTGCCCACCGTAACGGGGTCCTGCTCCCGCTCGTGGGTCCCGAGCATCACCAGAAGACACGCACCAACTGCTGCGGGTGCCGACAGCTCCCTCGCCTCTGCTCCAGGCCTTGCTCTGGAGACCCTCCATACCACTTCTTGCCCCAAAGCCTCTTCACGCCTCACCTGGTTTGACTTCTTTGTCCTCCCCTTTCCCTGGGCTGCTGCTCAACTCTGGCTTCTCCAGAGGCTTCTCCTTCTCTTGGATCCCCTCATCTGCAGAATGGAATGGGACGATGAGAGAAGCCTGACGTGCAAAACACTCTTCAGGGAACAACAACTTATTGTCTAGATAGACTTTGCCTTTTAAAGTGTTTATATTGTATGTACATTCAAGGTGTTCAAAAAACATCAAACAGAACGTTCTCCTGCACTTTATCAAGAACATGTATTTCGTTTTCCTTCTTCCTTGAGTCATCTGGAGGAACACATTGCAGGGACCAAACACCCCCCCCCAAAATGAACACTTCTCATAATGTACAGTCTGGAATTGTTGGTTCCTTTTCAGGAATTGCTACGGGACCTTGTGACATTCAGGTTTCCCACTATGATCTGGAGAGGAGGAAGACCCAAGCATGGCGCCAGCCCAGGAGCCTCCCACCAGAGGAAAGCCCGCCCGCCAGGAGCACCAGCGCATCCGAGGCTGTTTGGGTGCATGCCCTGGTCTCCACACAGCTTCAGCTGCAGAACCCCCCCAGCGCAGATCGGTGTCACTGCTGAGAGCCACAGCCCCAACGAGGACCCAGCCACGGCCGAGAGGGGAGCCCGTGCATGGGGACCGCGTTCCTCCCAGCCACAGAGACTCACCTTTCACCAGAGGCTCAGGAGAAGGCTCAGCCTTTTCACTCTCCTCTTGCTTCTCTTCCCTCGGTTTCTCTTTGCTGTCGCAGCTTTCTGGGTGCTCTTCGCTTTCCACCTTCTCGGCACTCACAGGCACCTTAATGTAAAGTGCCCACACCAGATCAGCCCAGCCTTGCCCCTTCCTTGGGGAGCACTCCGAGTTTCCAGGCAGGCAAGAAGGCTTCCTGGAGGAGATGCCAACACCCTACCTGGCCGTCAGACACCTTCCTGGACTTCTGCTCCACTTGGTCCTTTTCCTCCTGGAACCCAAGTTGCGTTTCTGTTTTGTCTGTAGCAACAGCAAAGCAAGGAAGCTATTGACCAGGGTCCCAGGGGGCCGCAGGTACTGCCAGGGTAGGCAGACCCCTGCAAGAACTCCTGGTGTCTTGGCCCACCTCCCCTCCCAAGCCAGACCAAAGCCACCATCCCCTGGTAGGCACACCTACCTGCAAGGGCCACAGGTCCCACGTGCTGGGCTGGGCTGGCTGGGACAGGGGTGTTGGGATCTGAAGAAACAATCTCGCTGCATTTCTTGCCCTCCGGGCCCTCGAGAATCAGGTCTGGGGTGCTGTACTTCCCGTTGACATGCTCAAACTCCTGGACCTGGGGCAGATGCACACATCAAGTCAAGCACAGCGGAGACATTTCCAGCCCGGGCAAAAAGGGGTGCGCACTGAGCCTGGGAGATTCAGCGGGGGATCCCTGGCGAGAGGCATTCAGGAGCCAACCAAACCCCCGAGCCTCCAGAACATCCCCGAGATGGCACAGTTAAAATTTTACTCACCCACCTTCTTCCTTACTAGTGACATGACTCCTATGCGAGTCAGCACGTGCTGCCGTGAGAGCCCTTCCCGGGGAACACCGTCCGCAAAGGTTTCGGCACCATCTGCCCCAGGTTCACACAAGTGTCTCATGAAGAGAGAGACGTACGCCCTGCAGGAGCAAAGCCAGCCCTCAGCCCAGCCCAGCCCACGGGCTCCCCAGAGCCAAGCACCCGCACTGACCGCTTCCACCCGCGGGCGAGGGCAGAGTCCCACGCTCAGGCTAAGATCTGGCCTACCATAAAGGGAAGGATAGCAGCCCTCTCAAATGAAACAGGGACTGCCTCCCCCAAAAGAAACCTCAGTGGGGGTGGGCAAGCACCTGGGGTACTGCTGCCCCGCTGGCTTTGTCACAGCACAGCCCCGGTGTCACAGGGACGGTGACACAGCAAGACAACGGGGTGATAGTTTGTCCTGAACATGTGAGCTAAGTGCTCACCACCATCAACCGGCGGCTGGGACAGACCTTGCCCTGCTTGCCCGGGACCCCCAGTACCTGAACTCCTTCTCGCTCTTCCCTCGCAGATCGCGGACCAGCCAGTGAGAGTTGAAGGCGTCCTGGGGCGGCATGCCCCAGCGCATGATAGCGTTCAGGAACGCCTTGCGCTGGCGGGCATTGAAGCCGAGAACCTGCAGGGAGCGGAGGTGTTGCTGGGATCACAAGGCAGCCTCGGAAGCGTGGGGCATCTCGGAGCATAGCCACCCTTACAGGCGTGCTGGACCAGAACCGATGTGCTGGCAACTCGGCATGGAGGAGGCCAGAGAGCCCAGAGCAGCCCTGGCACAACGGCATCAGACGTGCTCTGGCTGAGGCCAACACTCACCTCGATATTCCCCCCAACTCTTGCCAGCAAAGGAGGGAGAGGCTTGTCCCGGTCACTCTTCAGCTGCCTCCGGGATTGTCTCCTGCCACCTAGAGTCAAGCAGCCCCAGTGACGGATGGGCCCAGGCAGCGAGGAAGGACAGCCAAAGCGCTCACGAGCCCCAGGTTTCCTGCACTCCCTCCCGACAGGAGCAGAACCCGGGCAGAGCAGCAGCCCGGGCTGCAGAGTCCCTTCCACCATCCCGATGGCCTCCCCAGGCCAGGGCACTCTTCTGCCCTTACCACGCAAGGGGCTACCGTATCTGTTCCTCCTGCGGTCCCCATCCTTCCACCGTGAGGACCAGAGCAAGGTCCTGCAGCAGCCAGTGAAGGAAACAGCAGGATGCCATCCCTGCCCTGGGAATCTCCTCACCTGGCAGGCCGGTGGGGATACCTCCCCCTGAACGGAGGCCCAGAAGCACACCAGTCCCTCCAACCCAGATGTTTCTGTTGCACCCGAGTGCCAGGGGCTTCCCGCAGAGCAAAATCCCGTGGAGAATCAAACGCATTAACTCACTCTGACCTTCTGGCCTCTCTTCAAAGTCTTCATCCTCGTCCTCGGAGCCAATGGAGTACTCCGACTGGTTGTCAGAGAGCTCGTCCTGCCACTCTGCAGACCCCAAGGGAGGCCAGGTTAGAAAAGGGACCGAGCAGTGGGACCCTGCCCAGGAGGGACAGGTGGCACCCGCTGCTGGGCAGCGGAAGAGGACGACACAGCAAGCAGGAAATCACATTCTTGGGTGTTCCAAAATTAGTGTTCTCCTGCAGAGAAAAACTCCAATTTGAAATACTTTGCCCATGGGCATGTTTTTCCTAAATTCTTCTGGCAAAAACAGAGTTTACAGACCAAAAACTAAAAAGAAAACGTCTCTGAAGAATTTCTATCCTGGAAGGTTTAGGAATGTGGGAAGCACAGAGCCATGCAGTCTACCAAACTGCAGAGGGACGCCAAGCAAACCACACCATGGCCAGCACGTCCGTCAGGGAACCCCTCTGCGCAGCTTTCCAGAGCCAGCCCGCAGGGCCCGTGCCCGCTCCCAGCCCGGCCAGGAGCTGCGAGGCCGCAGCCGTACCTTGGTCCTCCTGCGAGGCGTCGTTGTAGTTGACCTGCTTGCGGATTCTCTTCCCTTTCCCCAGGTTCCTGGCCAGATCCTCCTGCTGCTGCTCATAGTGGTGCCGCAGCAGCTTCTCCCAGTAGTCGGGGTCCACATTCTCCTCTTGCTTGATGATCTCACGTTCCACCTCCTCCTGCAAAGCAAGGGACAAGAGGCATGAGATCGGGCAGACGTGGACCTCTAAGGGCACTCCAGGGAAAAAGGGAAGGAGAGCACCAAGCCGCCGGCTGGACTTTGGCTCCTGGGTCTTTGCCCAAACATTCTGACCTCGGTGCAAGGTTGTCAAAGGGCCAAGACAACCTCCCACCCCGAGAGAGCTCCTCCGAACACCGCCATCCATCCCACCCTGCAGTGCCCACGCTCACATCGAGGGAAAAGCCACAGATCTGCAGAGACCTCCCGAACAGCAGCCTGCTGTCGGCCTCCTCAACTGGGAAAACAAACGACAGCAGCGCGGCGCGCAAGCAGCGCCGTGCCGGTTCCCAGCCTGCAGGGGAAGGGCCTTCAGCATCACAGAAGGTGCCCACGGATGCTTCAATCAAATGAGGCCCTGTGACAAGAGGGACAGAGCCCACCTTGCACCGTGAGCTGCAGAGGACAAAGGCAACTGTGCTTCCTCCACCTGCAACCAGTCCCACCAGCCCCAGGACCCCCGGTCTGGAACAATCTACGGCAGTCATAGATAGAGAGCAGGGGGGAGTCCTGCCCCGCACCGAAACACTCACAAGAACAGGAAAGGGAGGGAAAGAAACACAAAGGGAGGGACAAAGAGGTGCGATTGTAAGACATGATACTGATCACATTACCACACCGTCCTCTTCTCTCACAACATACTGGGCCACTTTAAAGGAGCTGAGATACTCGTTCATGTTCTGCAGCTCCGTGTCATCAGTTGCATCCTGGTTTCGGTCCAGAAGCTTAGAGATGGCAGCGTCGTCGTAGTGGATCACACTGCTGTCATCCACATCCTTATTGTCACCTGGGGGCCAAGGCGAGGGGAATGGAAGCGTAAATCACCGTGCTGGCAGCAGCCCGCTCCCAAAGCCAGGCGAGCTCAGCTTGGGCCAGGGAGAGGGGCAGGTCACCCCAACAAGGGGGACTACACACCTGGTGGGGTGCCACCATGCTTCTTCTTTATGCCGGGAGTCACCGCACCCCCTTTGGTTGACAGCGTGTCAGAGAAAGGGGTGACAGTGTCTGGCATGGCGATCCGCTGTCCCTGAGACACCATGCCTGCGGGCGTAAGGAGAATGAGCCCCTGCAGCTCAGAGAGGGCCCCGCCGCGTGTGGAGCACTCCCAGCGCCTTCCCGACCTCACCTTCCACATCATCCTTGAAGAGCTCTTCTGTTCCAAACTTGAGGATGTCGTCCAGCTCTTGCTTGGTCATGGAGCCCGACTTGGAGCCAAGCCCCGGGCGGACCACTAAGTGGGTGAGCATCATCTTCCTCTTGGCCACCTGGGTGATGCGCTCCTCCACGGAGGCTCTGGTGACGAAGCGGTAGATCATCACCTTCTTGTTCTGCCCAATGCGGTGAGCTCTGCTGAACGCCTGCAGGCAGAGAAGGAAGCTGTCGAGGGCGGCACCGCACCACGCTGGCCGAGGGCTCCGAGTTTCTCGCTCCTCCAGGGTGCACGCAGGCACGGGGGCCAGGCTGCATTCAGCGTCCAGGCTGCTACGGGGCAGTGGGGCGAGAGGGGCTCCTCGGAACCAACCCGAATGCGCTGGCCCCCTCCATGGACTGCAGGCAAGCCAGCTTCCCCGGGGGGGGCCCTGCCTGAAGGGTCTGAGGGCCGGCAGCGAGGACACGGCCTGGGAGCGTGGGAGGGATACGCATTTCTCTTCGCTTTTCCCTTATTTTCATAGGCGTTGGCTGCTCGCTCACTCCAGCTGCCATTTCCCAATGGCAGTCAGTCCTTAGCTAGGGTCTGCCCCGGGCTTTTGGAAATGCAAGTGGAAGCTCCCCAGAAGAAGAGGGGACACGTGGTTGTGAACAAGCAGCAGGAGAAAGCAAGAAGCCCATGGAAGAGAGCTGGTTTTACGTGCCAGGTCTCTCCCACGCCACAGACAGGCCAGGGCGAGGCTGGTGGATGCAGGAAGGGGCTCCCAAGCAGATACGTGCCCCATAAATCCTGCAGAAAGGGCCGGTGGCTCTCGAGAGAAGAGACCGACTTCCCTGTGCAGGGTGTGCAAACAGAGGGCAAAGCCAGAGAGGTACTTACTATATGGGAAGGAAAAGGAAAAGTCAGAAACCTGGATGTCATTGTGGGGATTCCAGTCAGAATCATAAATAATGACTGTGTCGGCCGTAGCAAGGTTTATGCCCAGACCGCCGGCGCGGGTAGAGAGGAGAAAGCAGAACTGCTGAGCACCAGGAGCTGAGGAAGACAAACCCACAGGTGGCAAACGGTGAGACGGAAAGCAGCGCAGCTTACACAGAAAGGTGCAGGATGGCACTTTAGGTACGAAACAGCGGGACCCATCGGTCTAAGCCAACAAGCAATGGGCAGGGAAGGCAAGGAGTGAAAATATATTCCCTGGGAACCAGCTACTGGAGAAAACACAGCTCCAGAGCCAAAGAGGAAGCTTTGCCGCCTACCGAGGCCTTGAGGGGAAACACCAGATCCCCTCAAACTAAGCAGCCCGCCGTTGGCACGCTCAGGGCTCACCATGGGACACAACTCGGGGCTTAACGACGCGGTACGAGCAGCCCACGCTGCGCCTCAGGAGGCTGGACCCACCAGCACGGCACAGCCGGCGGGCAGGCAAAGGGGCTTCA